GAGACTTTGGTGCTCTCTGAGCTTGGTGGTTTTCTTGCAGACATTTCACTACCAAACTAGGTAACATCATCAGTGCTAGAAGGGAGTGGAGTTAGCTCTTATTTTTATATACACTGCTCAAAAAAAATAAAGGGAACAGAAAAATAAGACATCCTAGATCTGAATGAATGAAATATTCTTATTAAATACTTCGTTCCTTACATAGTTGAATGTGCGGACAACAAAATCACACAAAAATTATCAATGGAAATCAAATTTAGCAGCCCATGGAGGTCTGGATTTGGAGTGACACTCAAAATTAAAGTAGAAAAAAACACTACAGGATGATCCAACTTTGTTGTAATGTCCTTAAAACAAGTTAAAATGAGGCCCAGTAGTGTGTGTGGCCTCCACGTGCCTGTATGCCTGGGCATGCTCCTGATGAGGTGGCGGATGGTCTCCTGAGGGATCTCCTCCCACACCTGGACTAAAACTTCCCCCAACTCCTGGACAGTCTGTGGTGCAACGTGGCATTGGTGGATGGAGCGAGACATGATGTCCCAGATGTGCTCAATTGGATTCAGGTCTGGGGAATGGGCGGGCCAGTCCATAGCATCAATGCCTTCGTCTTGCAGGAACTGCTGACACACTCCAGCCACATGAAGTCTAGCATTGTCTTGCATTAGGAGGAACTCAGGGCCAACCGCACCAGCATATGGTCTCACAAGGGGTCTGAGGATCTCATTTTGGTACCTAATGGCAGTCAGGCTACTTCTGGTGAGCACATGGAGGGCTGTGCGGCCCCCTAAAGAAATGCCACCCCACACCATTACTGACCCACTGCCAAACCAGTCATGCTGGGGGATGTTGCAGCCAGCAGAACGTTCTCCACGGCGTCTCCAGACCCTGTCACGTCTGTCACATGTGCTCAGTGTGAACCTGCTTTCATCTGTGAAGAGCACAGGGCGCCAGTGGCAAATTTACCAATCTTGGTGTTCTCTGGCAAATGCCAAACGTCCTGCACGGTGTTGGGCTGTAAGCACAACCCCCACCTGTGGATGTCGGGCCCTCATACCACCCTCATGGAGTCTGTTTCTGACCGTTTGAGCAGCCACATGCACATTTGTGGCCCGCTGGAGGTCATTTTGCAGGGCTCTGGCAGTGCTCCTCCTGTCCCTCCTTGCACAAAGGTGGAGGTAGCTGTCCTGATGCTGGGTTGTTGCCCTCCTACGGCCTCCTCGATGTCTCCTGATGTACTGGCCTGTCTCCTGGTAGCACCTCCATGCTCTGGACACTACGCTGACAGACACAGCAAACCTTCTTGACACAGCTTGCATTGATGTGCCATCTTGGATGAGCTGCACTACCTGAGCCACTTGTGTGGGTTGTAGACTCCGTCTCATGCTACGACTAGAGTGACAGCACCGCCAGCATTCAAAAGTGACCAAACCATCAGCTAGAAAGCATAGGAACTGAGAAGTGGTCTGTGGTCACCACCTGCAGAACCACTCCTTTATTGGGGATGTCTTGCTAACTGTCTCTGCTTTCCACCTGTTGTCTATTCCATTTGCACAACAGCATGTGAAATTGATTGTCAATCAGTGTTGCTACCTAAGTGGACAGTTTGATTTCACAGAAGTGTGATTGTCTTGGAGTTACGTTGTGTTGTTTAAGTGTTCCCTTTATATTTTTGAGCAGTGTACATTCATACATACATACATTTATAGACATTCATACCTTCTATTGGTACAATATGCTAAGTCTAAACTTGCTGCTGTTTATTGTGCTGTTTGAAATATCCAGAATGCTTAGCAAACCAGCATAATGCACTCCTGTGAACCTTGGTCAGTTGCGGATTAGCACCATGGGCTTGCACCAACCATTACAACAGGCAGACTCTTGTTAGACTTGTTAGACAAGGTATGTTCCACCTGTGCGATAAACCTCCTGAGAAGCAGCAGCCTTGCATTTGAACACCCTGTCTTTGTTTCCTCAACAGGACTGCGAAGGCTTTGAGAAATGCTGCACCAACGTTTGCGGCTTGCGGAGTTGCGTGGCTGCCCGCTACGCCGATGGAAGCCTCTCTTCCTTGGAACAGGTGCAGGAAGCCACCTGCGAGAGCTTTGTCTGTACCCAGCAGGGCTCGGACTGTGATATTTGGGACGGGCAACCGGTCTGCAAGTGCAAGGACAGGTGTGAGAAGGAACCCAACTTCACCTGCGCCTCTGATGGACTCACCTACTACAACAAGTGCTACATGGATGCCGAGGCCTGTATCCGGGGCATCAGCCTGGCAGTGGTGCCATGCAAGTATATCTTTACCTGGCCCAATACTAGCCCGGTGCCGGTGGAGACCACCACTCACCCCACCCCTGGGGCCTCTCCGGAGCTGCCTATCCCTCCGGCTCTCTACAACAACCCTTTCCACCAGCTTGTCTACGTGGGGGGCACCGTGAGCTTCCACTGTGACGTGAGCGGGCGTCCTCGTCCTGACATCACCTGGGAGAAGCAGAGCGACCATCAGGAGAACTTCATCATGCGGCCCGATCAGATGTATGGCAACATGGTGGTGACCAACATTGGGCAGTTGGTCATCTACAATGCTCAGCCGGAAGATGCTGGAATCTACACGTGTACTGCCAGGAATTCTGCCGGTCTCCTGCGAGCAGACTTCCCACTCTCGGTGGTCAAGAAGGAACATGGCAGAGGAGAACCGAGAGCTTCCGGCACGGTGAAGCTCCCGCCCGACGAATGCTTGCGGGAACCCGATACCCAGGATTGTGAGACCTACCAAACCCGTTGGTATTTTGACTCCAAAAAGGGCTCCTGTGTGACTTTCCGTTACGGCGGCTGCGGAGCGAACCAGAACCGCTTCAACACTTACGAGGAGTGTCAATTGTCTTGCGTCAGCAGCACGGTCAACCTGTGCACCCTCCCCATGGTGCAAGGACCCTGTAAGAACTGGGAACCTCGCTGGGCCTACAACCACCTGATGAAGCAGTGCCATTCCTTCATCTACGGCAGTTGCGAGGGCAACGAGAACAACTTCGACAGCAAGGAGAGCTGCGAGGACGCCTGTCCCTTCCCCAAGACCTTGCTGTGCAAAGCATGTCGCCTGAAAAGCAAGATGGTGTTGAGCCTTTGCCGCAGTGATTTCGCCATCGTGGGGCGGCTGATGGAGATCATCGAGGATCAAGATTCCGGGATCGCCCGTTTTGCGCTGGACGACGTCCTCAAGGACGAGAAGATGGGCCTCAAGTTCTTCGACATCAAGTATCTGGAAGTCACCTTGACCGACATGGACTGGAACTGCCCCTGTCCCAACATGACCATGGAGGATGGGCCTCTCATCATCATGGGAGAAGTTCATGACGGCATGGCTGTCCTTGATCCTAACAGCTACGTCCGGACTGCCAACGACAAGCGGGTCAAGAAGATTTATGAGCTTCTGGAGAAGAAGACCTGCGAGTTGTTCAACCGGTTTCAGGACTAAGGTGGGCTTGAGGGGAGGGAAAGTAGAACAGGCAGGAGAAACGCTGCTCCCTCTTCAAAGGCAGAGCCATCCTTACGGTTGTTATAGAAACGAAGGATGGGTGGGAAGATGAACCAATGACCTGGTGCCCTTTTCAATCCACAGAGGGGTGGTTGTAGTAGGCTTGTTAAGTGACCTGGTTTAATGTGCTGGGTGAAAACAGTTGATGAAGGGTAATCTACATTTCCCATCTTCGGTCCAGGCCAGCTCTATTTATTTTTAAAAATACGTGTTTTTTTTCTGTCACAATCCGAACTCTACTATGACGAGGGCTGGCCAGTGCTTGTATCGGTCTACCGTCTTGATTTTGTGTGAGCTGTAACTTAACTGCAACCACTAGGTCCCACTGCTGTACACCCTTCTCAGCTGCTCCAATCTTTGTGAAATGAAGATTAATTAAACCAACAAACCAGGTTTCTTCTCCATTTTACAGTGGAGGTCAAATGGAAGCTCTTCTAAAAAATCCTTTCAGGGTGGCAAAGTCTTTCCTTAGACAAATTATCACTGTTCTTGAGGACTAGCTTCCTCGCCCTTCCTAGGAGGGCAACTGCCAATTTCTGGGGGATAAAAAAATATCATAAATCATGGTAATTTGACTCTAAGGTGCTGCAAATGGCCCTAACGGGCACTGGTTGCTAAGCACCTATAAGATTGTCATATACCGCAAGATTGTGTGTGTGTGTGTGTGTGGCCACTGGAACTTCAGAACCAGGTCATATATAATTTTTTTGGGGGGGTTCCTATCATAATAGTTGCTAAGTGACAGATTTTAAGTTGAGGACTATGTAAATTGAGGGGGGGGGGAGTGTTTTATTTCACATTTTGGAAGCTGTTTTACTGTTTCCCTACAGCCCTAAAGTTCTTTGAAGGCCCATCCAAGTTGTAACCAGGACAGACCCTGCTTAGCTTCTGAGCCCAGACAAACGTGATCAAATACTGCCCCCTGGTGACACACTATCAGATTTACCTTTCCAAATGGCTCCACTGTAGATAGTGAACTGGATAACAACCAAGTGATACTCGTGTAGGAATGCCAAAACGTTATATTTATTTGCACCCAAATGCAACACAGATGATGTAAGTTGCCATTACCTTGATTCTTAGCCAAGGCTATTTTTTGTGGGTTATCACACATCACCCAAATAATTAAAGAAACATGGATATGCCACACATCACCACTAGAGGGAGAGAGTATTCTACATGCAAATTAGAGAGTCATGGATTTTCCCTTCCACTGAAATAAACGGCAAACATTTTAGTAATTTAGGAGGAAAAATTATGTTCCAGACTTCTTAAAGCCAGAGCATGTAACTTCAGCCACTTTTAATATTTGTGGACTTCAGCTCTCAGAATTCTGTTGGCTGGGGAATTCTGGGAGTTGAAATCCACAAGTTGCCCTGTCTTAAGGCATTCTTCCCAAATTGCCTCTACTCATAACCTTTCTCCAAAGCCACAACCTCATCACAACCAGCAAAATTGCTCAGTCCACCTCCCAATCCCAGCCGTCATGTATTAACCAGGATTTATGGCTTGCCATGTTGCCCAAATCAAAACCCGCAGACCTTTTTAAAGCATCCTGAATTTGAAATACCAGGATTTCAAACTTTGGTTACAATGTGCAGTGTTCCAAATCCAGCAAGCAGGGTCTCTGTTATGGAGGACTACCAAACTACCATGCAGCTGGTAACCAGAGCTTTAATTAGGGAAACAGTCTTGTTAACTGAGTTTAGTGTACCCTGATATGAGCTGGAGGGGTGCCTCTAAATTTGTGATGTGAGCGCCATAACCCAGAAGCCAAAACTGATTCTGAAGCATTAATATCCAAGGCAGATAAGTGCATGACCACACTGGCCAAGCCATTGCATGAACAACAGTGGTCCTCGAACTCTCCTTTGTCCAAGGACGCAAGCATCTAGCCCCCAACTCCAAAGAGCCATTAGCATACTCTCTGTCCACCAGAGAAAGTCAAGAGCAACCATCTCTGTTGGACCACAATTCTTGCAGAAATTTTTTTTCTCCCCCAGTTATGAATTGATGATGGCACTTGGTCCCAATACCCCATAAGCACTTCCTCATGGATGTGTCAAGAAGCAGAGCTCAGCAGAAGAAATCCTGCCAAGGGAGAAGACCTCCACAGCATTTCAAAGGGGTCCATGAAGTTCCTTCGTGGAGACAGCAGTCCAGCGACTTAGTGTTTGCGGAAAATGAGGCACTTGTTATTTGCCGGCATGTCGACCTGGAAGCAGAAACTCTTGTGGTTATTCTAGGCAATAAAATTGCAATTGATGCCAGGCTGTTAAGAGAACCCCCTCCTCAGACTGAGGAACCAGGAGGCATTGGGGACCCCAGAGATCAGCAGAAGGAGCTGGAGCCCAAAGAATTTAGCTGGACAAAGGCTTGGTCAGTGTATAGGAGAGAAGCTCAGCTTATTTTTAGGCAAAAGTTAACATAACAAATGGGAAGAGGCTGTTGCCCGGTGAAATTGCAGGTAGAATTTGGGCTGCTCAGGGGTGTTCATTCAGGCAGGGATTTTTTTGCAGGGGTTGATCAAAATAACCAAGGGGCATCTTGACTTTGGGATATTCCCCTGTCCAGATGAAAACTAATATTGTAAAACTAGTACTAAAACTGTAAAACTTGAGCTAAGACTAAAACGAAAAGCGTAAAACTAACATGATAAAACTGAAGCAAAGCAAAAAACTGTAAATCTGAAGCAAAATTAAAACCAAAGCAAAACTAAAACTTAAAACAGGAAAGCTGAAACTGGAACTAAAACTGCAGCCAAAGTTAAAAGTGTCCCTTTTCCAGTTTTAAACAGAACGGGATACTTTTCTCCATTCAGCCTACCATGTTTTCCAACTGCATCCCGTTGG